GCTGCAGGAGGTGCGACGAGTGTGGAGGCATACAGAGGGCAATAATCTTCTTCTCCTTGCAGCGATCCTGGAAATCTATCGAGCAATGGCTCTCGTGGCCGTCGATAATCAGCAGCCTATACGCTCCTACAGGCCTCGCATGCGTATCAAAGTGATTAAGCCAGGCAAGCGCTAGATTGTTGTTTGTCCAGCCTGTTGGGCTTACTTAAATAACCCAATTGCGTGGGAGGTCCTCAGTAAACCAGTTAGAGATAAGAACCTTGCCAGCAAAGATGAGGAAGGGTAGGATAACACGCCCTGTTGCGCTGACGCCCTGTATTAACGTAGTCCACTTGCGATCACCAGGCTGAAGCTTCTTCGCTTTCCTAGGTTTCTCTATGCCTGTCACAACAAGTTGTGAAGATATCTTGCCCATTAGGAAGCCAGACTCGTCAAAGTTGTACATGTTGTTGTCCACAATACCATACTTCGCCTTTATATTCTGAACTAGCGTGAACCAGGGCTTGATGATCGCTGGGTCTTCGCAGAGAGCTCGCTGGTGATTGTATGGACGAGTCCAGCGCGTGCGCAGCTTAGGTGTACGCTTAATAAACCTGTCAACCCAGCATTTACCAACAGGCTCACCACCGCGGTCGCGCAGCAGTCTATCAGCCATATCTTGTACGTGTAGCTTCGAGGGCGGTACTCCACGTAGGTTCTCGTCAAGTATACGCTGCAGAATCACCTCCTCTTCTAGCTTCGTCAGGCGCTTTGATCTGGGCTCGCAGTCGCGTCTAGAGGGCTTCCCGTCACGTCGTCGTTGTATCGTCCTACGAGGAACGCTGTAGACTGCCTCAGCACGTCGCAGGCTCGTAATCTGGTCGCATTTAATGTCAGAGAGGGCAAGCTGCACGTCAGCTTCAGTATAGGGCTTGTGAGGTTGTGGTTGTTGAGACATTACGCGTTGAGTGTCGCGCATGCGCTTTGCTGGTGTTCGTGGGGCGCTCACTGAGGTGGGGCGCTCACTGATAAAACAGGTTATTGTTATCTTGTGTAAAGTTATAAGACTTTGTTCTTATAATCTTTCTCTAGCGTATTTCCTTCTTAGGTATAGCGCTATGCTTACCTAAGCATTGTTATTGTAATCTCTAAGAATAGAGGATTAGAATGGTGTGCTTACGAAGCCTGTATCTCCTCTTGTTCTTAAGATATGCTGTTCTCTATTTTTAGTAACTAGAAATGTTCTAGACCCTCTGCTTACAAATAGAGTAGCCTATTCTGTAAGATGCTAACGTATACGATTACGTATGCACCTACGTAATCTTGCTTGCATATGCAGCAATACTAAGCATAGATTACAAAGTAGACCTACCTAGAGGAGTCTAGAACGTTCTGCTTAGAAATACAGACAGAAGAGAGGAAGCATAAATACCTCTGGCTCTCCCCCCTCTGTTCGCTCTGTACCTAGCCTAGGAATCTCTACCTAGTATCTAATATAATAACTTACCTATTATATTACATAACCCTACCTTACCTCTATTAGGCTATACGCTTCCTATTTAGACAAAGCTAGTCTAGATTTGTCTAGGTCCTTCTAGACTAGGAAGAAAGTAGTCTAGTCCTTCCCCTACTTTCTTTACATCTTGCTTATTTGCTTTAGCAAGAACCTTGCTGCGTAGGTGCTAGGATTCCTAAGCTTTGCTTTTATAGAGTATGCTTAGAGTTTATGTTGCCACTCTTGTCTTGTAATAGCTTTAATCCTAATACCTGTTATTGCAAGACTTGTAGTATTAGATACTAGTTGCTGTTTTGTAGCTTGTTTTGCTAAGGAGTCTGCTTTTTTATTTCCT